AACCCCACCACCACCCCACCACACCACACCCCACCCCACCCCTCCACACCACACCACACCCCACCCCACCCCACCCCCCCACCACACCTCACCCACCCCACCCCACCTCACCACACACCACCCCACCCCACCCCACCCCACCACACCCCACACCCCACCCCACCACACCAACCCACACCCCACACCACCCACCACACACTACCCCCACCCCACCCCAAAACCCCCCCCACCCACCCAACCACACCCCACCCCCACCACACACCACCAAACCCCACCCCACCCCACCCAATCCCCCCCCACCCCACCTCACCACACCCCACCACACCCCACCACACCCCCCCCTACCCCACTACCCCACCCCACCACACCACACCACACCACACCACTCCACACCTCACCACACCTCACCACACCACACCACACCCCACCCACCCCACCCCACCCCCCCCACCCCCCCACCCCACCAAACCACACCTCACCACACCCCACCACACCCACCCCACCCCTCCCCACCCCCACCCCACCCTACCCTACCCCCCACCCCACCCCCCCCACCCCACCCAACACCACCCCCCACTCCCCACCCAACCTACTCCACCCACCCCTCCCAACCCCACCCCCCCACCCCACCCCCCCCACCCCTACCAACCCCACCCACCCCCCCACTCCCCTACCCACCACACCACCCACCCACCCTACCCAACCCCACCCCACCCTACCCTACCCCCCCCCTACCAAGCCCTACCCTACCCAACTCTACCCTACCCTCCACCCTACCCCTACCTCCTCACCCTACCCTACTCTACTCTACACTACTCTACTCTACTCTACTCTACTCTACCCTAGCCTACCCTACCCTACCCCACCCTACCCTACCTACCCAACCCCACCCTACCCTACCCCACCCTACCCCTACTTACTCTACTCTACCCTACCCTACCCTACCCTACCCCTACCCCACCCTACCCTACCTTACCCTACCCACCCTACCCTACCCCACCCTACCCTACCTTACCCTACCCTACCCCACTCTACCCTACCTTACCCTACCCCACCCTACCCTACCTCACTCCCTACCACCTACCTACTCCACCCTACCCTACCTTACCCTACCCCACCCTACCCTACCTCACCCTACCTTACCCTACCCCACTCTACCCTACCCTACTCTACTCCACCCTACCCTACCTACCCTACCTTACCCCACTCTACCCTACCCTACCCTACCCTACCCTACCTTACCTCACTCTACCCTACCCTACTCTACTCCACCCCACCCTACCCTACCCTACCCTACTCTACTCTACCCTACCCTACCCTACCCTACCCCACCCCACCCCACCCCCCTACCCTACCCTACCCTACCCTACCCTACCCTACCCTACCCTACCCTACCCTACCCTACCCTACCCTACTCTACTCTCTACTCTACTCTACTCTACTCTACCCTACCCTACCCCTACCCCTACCCTACCCTACTCTACCCTACCCTACCCTACTCTACCCTACCCTACTCTACCCTACCCTACCCTACCATACCCTACTCTACCCTACCATACCCTACTCTACCCTACCCTACCCTACTCTACCCTACCCTACTCTACCCTACTCTACTCTACTCTACCCTACCCTACCCTACCCTACCCTACCCTACCCTAAGTTGAAACAAATCTAAAACATAGTTAGAAAAATCACTGAATATAAACTAATTGAATAGAAACAATTACAACATAAAAAAAAGTTTGGATGAGATCAACACAAATATTTCTATGGAGGAAGATGGAAAACTAGATATGTAAAATGGTATAGAGTAGAGCAAACTACGTTTTATAATAAAAAGGTTTCGTGTTAGAAAGGGAAAAAACTTATGAACATTAATTTTGCTATCTTTAATACGCACAAAAATTATATTATATTTAATCAAAAATATATTTATAACATAGTTTATTCAAAATTTATCATTAATAGATAATTTTATATAAATAAATAAATATGTATAAACATTAATATAATTAAAGTTTTCTATATCTATCCATAAATATATATATTATATCTTATTAGTAGATATATATATATTTATATACAAATATATACATTTATATCCGTTAATATATATATATATATATATATATATATATATATATATATATATATATATATATATATATATATATATATATATATATATATATATATATATATATATATATATATATATATATATATATATATATATATATATATATATATATATATATATATATATATATATATATATATATATATATATATATATATATATATATATATATATATATATATATATATATATATATATTCAGTTTAATCTATAATTATATTCTATTAATATTTTGAATAGACATAACCAAATAAAAAAATCTTTTAAAATCAAAATTTAAAATGAAAATACACACATATGAATTTTTTCAAAATATAAAATTTACTTGTGTTTTTAATTAATTAAAAAATAGTAAAATTTGCTTAAATTTTAGAAAAATATATATTCTTTCTTTAAAAATAAAGTTTAATATTTATTGATAACAATTATAAAATATAATATTTTTTTGAATTCTAAGCAAATTTTATTATTTTTTATTTAAATAAAAATTATATTATATATTTTTTTAATATATATATTAATTGTTTAATTAGTACTCTTATTCTATTACTAATAAGAAATTCGTGCATTCGTACGAATTCTGACGTGGACATGCACTGAGAGTAGAAATGTGATTAAAAAGATGTGGCTAAAACATGAGATTTCAAAAACCAATTTCATTAAAAAGAAAACCACTTACCATGTAAAAATTAGCCATGTACTATGGAGTGGCACCAATTTGTACTTGAGAATCATACATCGCAAATCCAACCAATTGGTAATAAATTAATCAACATACTTTAATAAATTAAATTCGTATAAATAGCTGGTTCCAATATAAGAAAATATTTATAAATGAGATAAGAGTGACTTTATATTCTCAATGGCACTCCTGTGATGGGAGGCTGTTGGAATGGATGGTTATTTGAAGTCTCAAAATAATAAAGTGGACTGACATGCCGTCTATGCCAAACCCCCAGTTAAATAATAAAGTGGCTGTTGGAATGGTTAGGTAATATTTTTTCTTTTCTAAATCTGTAGTTTTAATCTTTAGTTGACGATTCCAGGTTTCCAGCCGACATGATTATAAGGCCAGTTATTCTCAATGTGTCATCCAAGTACACTATAATAAAACAACAAGTAAACAATTTTAGTACACTATAATAAAACAACAAGTAAACAATTTTAGTTAGTAAGAGAAAATCAGACTGTATAAGTGCAATGATGTGCATGTATGAAAATGGAACATAAACTAAAAACTATAAGTGCAGAAAGTTGCAAGAAAAAAAGCTTATGAAAAACTATATGATAATCAAATATCATGTCAAACTTACAGGTATGTGTAAGTTACAATAGCAAGGAGTAATATGAGAGACCAGAAGACTTATAAGAAAAATCAACGCCAATGACATGTGCAAGAAGAGTAAATGTAAAATTAGTTCATGGAAAAGCAATAGATAACTTTAAGAGAGTGACAATCTACAAAGAACACATGGAGAGTGATAATATATGTAGATAACATCAAGAGAGTGACAATCTATGAAGATTCGAAACATACCTGTTCCAAGGCAATACTTGCACCCGGTTTCCCGACCAATCTTCGAATATGGGCAGCATTGCAACTCCTCTGGCAGAAGACATTTATACAATTGCCATCTTCAGGAACTACTACAAAGTTGCATTCATATTGGCTACAAAGACCAAATTCCAAATGGCATTCAAGTTTGAAGTTACAAATTTCGTTTTGGTATAAAGAGATTTCAAGTAACATTCAAGTTGTTAAGGTTTCAAAAATCCAAAGCAGTATGAACAATTCAAGCCAATCATGGCAAAAGCATTGACACATGTAGTAACTCAAACATTCCCATCTCATCAACTGTGTCAGGTCCCATCGGTTCAACTTCATCAAGATATCTTCCATTTCTTCATTGTAAAGCCTTTCTTTTAACACAGTCCATGTACAAAACCTGTCTAGCAATTAACACAAGAAGATATCACAAAAAAAAATAGAGTTGTCAACATGTGAGTACCATGATTCCATTTCTGATGAACTCTGTTGCCCCTAATGTCGTCCATGTTCAGAAAGTTCTCCGAAATAACCTGGACACAAAACTCATAAATATTCAATATTCACTTACGATCAACCAATAGAACATATAAAAGTAACTTATTTTTCGGTGGCAGTGACGACATTGTGATTCATGCGATATCAAGTCAGAGACTTTGTTGACAACACCAAATTGAACATGTCACCAGCCTACAGAAAGAGCAGTAGGCATAAACAAATCGCTCATTCACCGCGACAAAAATAAGACGAAACTACCAATAAGACTGCAGTAAATCAATGACTAAAATAAGTTCATAAATGTAAAATATTTACAACATTCAAAACGATACTTTAGATTCTAAATGACCTGAAGCAGCCCGTCCACGTGACATTATTCCTCAGTGGCATTTCATCGAACAGTACACATGCATCAATAAAAGAGTTTATAAAATATTATGGCAATAATAATTACGTGCAACAAAATAATATCACGGTCCTCAAACGAACAACGAAATATTCAATTCAAACCTTAAGAAACCGGCGTTCCAACTTTATTGCGGACCTCAAATTGAACTCCTTCAGATATTCTGTAACAGCAACCTCAGCCACATTATCGCCCGCAATCGAACTCGAGAAACCAAACCCAATAATTTTTTACAGCAATAATCTTTTTCATGTTCAAAATTTTTATTTATTTTATTTCCTAACATGAGTTATGTTCGACAAATTGCATTTTGAAAAGGAAACAACTTTACTAAAAAGTTAAAAACTCAATAGCATGTAATGACTTTGAAATGTACCGAAACGAAGCTTACATTGGTAAAGGCTCGCATGTGTTTTAACATCAACAGCATCACCATCCAATGTGAAAAGTACCAAATATGAGCTTACCCTGTGAAAGTTTCAACAGCAGTGGCGACCCCATAATCACCTGAATCCAACACTTTCACTATAAAGATCAAGATAAAGATACAAACGTTCAAAAACTCGTATGAAGATACCACAAAAAAAACACTTCAATCTTGATGATGAAACTTTCATGTTCCTCTTCCATGGTACAACCTTTGACCAATACCTCCAATGTCGGAAATCTGCGAAATTGAAAAAACAAGAACATAATCAGACATTGGAAAATAGTTCTTTTTATCAAAAACTTAAGAGAGACGAACAGAGAATGATCTTCGAATCCACCGTGCTCCAAAGTTGTCACGCAAATTGCTTAACACCGCATCCGCGTGTCCTCTTCAAAATTTATCATAAATAGATAATTTTATATAAATAAATAAATATGTATAAACATTAATATTATTAAAGTTTTCTATATCTATCCATAAATATATATATTATATCTTATTAGTAGATATATATTTATATTTTATATTCGTTAATATATATATATATATATATATATATATATATATATATATATATATATATATATATATATATATATATATATATATATATATATATATATATATATATATATATATATATATATATATATATATATATATATATATATATATATATATATTCAGTTTAATCTATAATTATATTCTATTAATATTTTGAATAGACATAATAATTTTTAAAATTTAACCAAATAAAACAAATTTTAAAATCAAAATTTAAAATGAAAATACACACGTATGAATTTTTTCAAAATATAAAATTTACTTATGTTTTTAATTAATTAAAAAATAGTAAAATTTGCTTAAAGTTTAGAAAAATATATATTCTTTCTTTAAAAATAAAGTTTAATATTTATTAATAACAATTATAAAATATAATATTTTTTTGAATTCTAAGCAAATTTTATTATTTTTTATTTAAATAAAATTATATTACATATTTTTTTAATATATATATATATATATATATATATATATATATATATATATATATATATATATATATTAATTGTTTAATTAGTACTCATATTCTATTACTAATGGGAAATTCGTGCATTCGTACGAATTCTGACGTGGACATGCAGTGAGAGTAGAAATGTGATTAAAAAGATGCGGCTAAAACATGAGATTTCAAAAACCAGTTTCATTAAAAAGAAAACCACTTACCATGTAAAAACTAGCCATGTACTATGGGTGGCACCAATTTGTACTTGAGAATCATACATCGCAAATCCAACCAATTGGTAATAAATTAATCAACATACTTGAATAAATTAAATTCATATAAATAGCTGGTTCCAATATAAGAAAATATTTATAAATGAGATAAGAGTGACTTTATATTCTCAATGGATAGTTATTTGAAGTCTCAAAATAATAAAATTTTCTAACTATATTATATAAATAATAAAGTGGACTGACATGCTGCCGTCTATGCCAAACCCCCAGTTAAAATTATTGTGTTTCTCCTATTATTTTGTTTGTTTTGGACAAATACTAGAGGTATAATATCTTACCATCTTGTTCCATGTTTCTAATAAGCTTCATTAGGAGGTTGAATGCATGGATCTAGTCTTGATGAGGCCATGCATTACCTTTGCTGGACTGCACTACAGTAGTTTGTTGGCCATTAGGTAATATTTTTTCTTTTCTAAATCTGTAGTTTTAATCTTTAGCTGACGATTCCAGGTTTCTAGCAGACATGATTATAAGGCCAGTTATTCTCAATGTGTCATCCCAGTACACTATAATAAAACAACAAGTAAACAATTTTAGTTGGTAAGAGAAAATTGGACGAGTTATATCAGACCGTATAAGTGCAATGATGTGCATGTATGAAAATGGAACATAAACTAAAAAAGTGCAGAAAGATGCAAGAAAAAAAGCTTATGAAAAACTATATGATAATCAAATATCATGTCAAACTTACAGGTATGTGTAAGTTACAACAGCAAGGAGTAATATGAGAGACCAGAAGACTTATAAGAAAAAAGTGCATGATGAAGACTTGATCACCACATGAGGGAAACTTGAATAATCTTGATCAAATGTTTAAGAGTTAGATGAAGATGGCATGGAAATAAACATATTAATCATTCTTGAATCTTCTTTTAAAGCATGCTTCAAACTTGACCTTCTTTTGCACAAATAATGTTGAATGAGTCTTAACATGAATATGACCTAAGATTATAGGCCATGCCTTAAAGTGAAAGCTCTTGTGCAAACACACTATATACAAGAGATGAATGCAAACACACTATGTACGAGAGATGAATGCATATTTAAGTACGTAAATTTGCCATAACTACTGTATAATAGTTTTCATGGAAAATGATAACTGTAACACGGGGTCACTAGGTAAGATTATTAATAGATTATCAACATGTATATGTTTTGTGAACTGATGTTTATTTGACATACTTCAAGAAACATCCACTTTGAACCCATTTATTGCTTGGAGTTGAAGTCTTTCAATTAAGTTTTTTGGTGAAGGGATAGAAGTTTGGATAGGAAGATTATTCATCTCCAATGGATTTAACAAATTTCTTCTCATTCCCAATCCCATAAATCATCTCAATATTCATGGGATTTGCAGTAGAAACACACAAAAACCTAACTTTTAGTTTTTTTTAAAGACCAAATATTATTAAACACAACATAAGAGATGCCAACCCACCATACAGTATATCCAGTACAAATGTTATGTAATTGCATAACAGAAAGCTACAGACCAGAACCCCTAAAACTCTAAACTCCCACCATGTTTGATGACTCTTCATTACAGGGATAGAAGACATTTAATCCATTTTTATATTTTGTATGTAATGTTTATATACTATGAGTGAGTTATAGAAAATTGTTTAACTAGATTTATCTTACTTCCAATCTATCATAACCTCTCAAATTATAATTTAGATTTAAGAAATCTGTAGGATCTATTGTCTCATGTAGCGATCATACATATAGACCGCAAGCACTAGAATTTAGAAAATTGTTTTTTTTGGTATCATAAAATATAAAGAACATTTAAACTGATTATAAATTGGACCCTTTATAAGTAACTTAGTTGGTTGCTGATACGACCCTTTATCTTCAATGGTGTGGGTTTGAAACCAGTTGCTGACAAAATTTACGTAACAGACGTAAATGACACTGTTTGAACACATAAGAAACTATATTGACACTTTTAAAAGTTAAGTTAAAAAATTAAAAATGATATTTTACCAAAACTTTATCATAAAGAGCATATGAGAGAAAAGATTAGAAAAGAAGAGGTACATTTAAAACGCAATTAAAAGAGAGAATCAATCATATTTGTAAGACTAAGGTATAATAGCTTTGAGTTTGAGTTTGAGTTGAATGTGGTTAAATGAATTTTGGATTGTAACATAACGTGGTTTGGTTCAGAATGATTCAATTTATAAAATACAAATTACAAATCGAACCGTGCAATTTTAGTTCATGGAAAAGCAATAGATAACTTTAAGAGAGTGACAATCTACGAAGAACACATGGAGAGTGATAATCTATGTAGATAACATCAAGAGAGTGACAATCTGTGAAGATTCGAAACATACCTGTTCCAAGGCAATACTTGCACCCGGTTTCCCGACCAATCTTCGAATATGGGCAGCGTTGCAACTCCTCTGGCAGAAGACATTTATACAATTGCCATCTTCAGGAACTACTACAAAGTTGCATTCATATTGGCTACAAAGACCAAATTCCAAATGGCATTCAAGTTTGAAGTTACAAATTTCGTTTTGGTACAAAGAGATTTCAAGTAACATTCAAGTTGTTAAGGTTTCAAAAATCCAAAGCAGTATGAACAATTCAAACCAATCATGGCAAAAGCATTGACACATGAGGGAATATAACTTTAGTACATGTAGTAACTCAAACATTCCCATCTCATCAACTCTGTGTCAGGTCCCATCGGTTCAACTTCATCAAGATATCTTCCATTTCTTCATTGTAAAGCCTTTCTTTTAACACATTCCATGTACAAAACCTGTCTAGCAATTAACACAAGAAGATATCACAAAAAAAATAGAGTTGTCAACATGTGAGTACCATGATTCCAATTCTGATGAACTCTGTTGCCCCTAATGCCGTCCATGTTCAGAAAGTTCTCCGAAATAACCTGGACACAAAACTCATAAATATTCAATATTCACTTACGATCAACCAATAGAACATATAAAAGTAACTTATTTTTCGGTGGCAGTGACGACATTGTGATTCATGCAATATCAAGTAAGAGACTTTGTTGACAACACCAAATTGAACATGTCACCAGCCTACAGAAAGAGCAGTAGGCATAAACAAATCGCTCATTCACCGCGACAAAAATAAGACGAAACTACCAATAAGACTGCAGTAAATCAATGACTAAAATAAGTTCATAAATGTAAAATATTTACAACATTCAAAACGATACTTTTGATTCTAAATGACCTGAAGCAGCCCGTCCACGAGACATTATTCCTCAGTGGCATTTCATCGAACAGTACACATGCATCAATAAAAGAGTTTATGAAATATTATGGCAATAATAATTACGTGCAACAAAATAATATCACGGTCCTCAAACGAACAACGAAATATTCAATTCAAACCTTAAGAAACCGGCGTTCCAACTTTATTGCGGTCCTCAAATTAAACTCCTTCGGATATTCTGTAACAGCAACCTCAGCCACATTATCGCCCTGCAATCAAACTCGAGAAACCAAACCCAATAATTTTTTACAGCAATAATCTTTTTCATCTTCAAAATTTGTATTTATTTTATTTCCTAACATGAGTTATGTTGGACAAATTGCATTTTGAAAAGGAAACAACTTTACCAAAAAATTAAAAACTCAATAGCATGTAATGACTTTGAAATGTACCGAAACCGAGCTTACATTGGTAAAGGCTCGCATATGTTTTAACATCAACAGCATCACCATCCAATGTGAAAAGTACCAAATATGAGCTTACTTCACCGAGCCTCTATTTGTCTCCAAAACCTTGCATCAAGGCTATGCCAAACACATAAACCTGCATAATCAGAACTTTAACAGATCCAGGGTTGCTGCATTAAGTTTTCGTGAAGTAAGTCCCATATCCAAACATCTAAACGGTCCTGCACATAATCATGAAAAAACCAGTCAGAAGATAAACCTACAGGAATCGGTTTGAACAAATGATTTGCTGCATAATTAACCTACGCTAAACTAGTTCGGTTCACAACATAAACCAATATCCAAAACATAAATGGTACTGCTACGTACATCACATAACAGGAAAATGTGATGAAAAGGCAAATAAGAGAAATTAAATCAAGCATTTCAACTCAGGAAACAACAAAAAAAAAAATCAGAAATAGAAATTAAATTAGAAAATTGTTTACAGCATTAAACAGAACAAACAGAATTTCACAACAACATAACTAACTTTTTCTAACCCCTAACCAACTCACTAACATATAACCGATTTCCAACTGAATCTTCCATTACCAGCTCATATCCTAACAAATTTCTAACCCTCTAACTAATTCTGTAACAAACTCTATCACTATATAACAGGATTTCAGATTCAGCCACTGGGAGCAGATACGACCCAACGCTTTCACAAGAAAAACCAGATTCATTTCACGAATTTATCAAAAAATTAGAATCAGAAAAAAAAACTCACCATTCTCCTGGGCACTCTTTGGATTCTCTGCTTCATTTTCACCATTCTATAACACACAGAAGAATCACCAAAATCTTCAACAGCCTTTCTCTGCTCCCTCTTCCATCATCTTCATCACTTGTTCAATTCTTCTAGAAGAATCACACAAAGACAAAAAAATCTCAAAAGTGATTCATTACAATTATTCAACACCAAGAAAACCTCTCAAGAAGATCTCTCTGAAATCTAGGCTTCAAACCGAGCCTTAAATTTGTGGCAATATTCACTCTCTATACAATCTTCCCGCAACATTCATGTTCTTTAATATACTGCAACAACATCTTCAATCTTCACTATCAACCCAATTCAACCGTCAATCGTCATCACATCACACAAAAAATTTCAGATTGCACAAAATCGCAACAATACAAAAAGCAAAAGAAGAAGAGATGAAGAATGAAATAAAAAAGCAAAAACTCGTATGAAGATACCACAAAAAAAAAAAACACTTCAATCTTGACGATGAAACTTTCATGTTCCGTTTCGAAAATACCTCTTCCATGGTACAACCTTTGACCAATACCTCCAATGTCGGAAATCTGCGAAATTGAAAAAACAAGAACATAATCAGACATTGGAAAATAGTTCTTTTTATCAAAAACTTAAGAGAGACGAACAGAGAATGATCTTCGAATCCACCGTGCTCCAAAGTTGTCACGCAAATTGCTTAACACCGCATCCGCGTGTCCTCTTCAAGTCGTCGCTCACGCCACCATAAGATTCACCACACCGCCACCTTATCACATCCTGTCGCTGGTAAATTCAGATTCCATATCTTTCCATTTTTCACTGTGAAGAAGAGGAAGAACGGAAGGCGTGTAGAAGGAGAAGAAATAAGAAGGTTTAGGGTTAGGGATTTGTAAGGAAAGATGAGACTGCAGAGAAAGAAAGGTAGTTAAAAGGAAGAAAGAGAAAAAGAGAGTAAAAATGATATAACAAAAAGGATCCAATTCTTCAATACTATAATTGGACAATTCGTTATAGAAACACCAAAAAACCAAAATATTTAATAGTCGTAAAATAAGGAAGGATGGGTACTGATGTCTTTTCAAGAGGTTAAAACATTCTTACATGATAAATTATTTTGAATTATCATAAGATTTTTTTAAATTTTACTAAATCAAAAAATCTTTTAAAATCAAGATTTAAAATGAATAATCACATAAATAAATTTTTATCAAATTAAAAAGAAATCTTTCAAAATTAAGATTTAAAATAAATGGTCACATAAATGAATTTTTATTAAATTAAAAAAAAATTAAAATTCAATATCACGTGGATTTAAAATATATATTTAGTTGATTACTATTTTATCCTTTTGTATTATGTGTTTTTAAATTTATAAAAGAACATTATAGAGTGTTTATACATATTTAATTTTAATGAATTGATAGTTTATTTTTAAACGCCGAGTGTAATTCTTTTATTTTATATTTAATCTTTTCTTACTTTTTTTATATATTATTTTTTTTTACGTTTTTTAATATTATATTAATTTATTTTACGTTTTTTTAAATTAATAATTTTTATTTATAATTGTTTTAAATCAATGAAGATTTATAATAGTTATTTATAAATATTTTCATTTGTACATAAAATTTTGATGTGAGACTATAATGTTTCAAATATATGCTACTACAAACCATCCCAACAATTTGTTTTCATAACATTGTATCATTTTTCACGTGATTGTTCATGAGTAAGTTCTTTTTCAAATGTAGAACAAAATATAATTTTTAATAAGAAAACTAAAATATATGAGTGCTGCCAGTGCATGCATACTGCTATATAATACTAGCTTTCAAACTTTCTTGGTTACGAAGGCTTAGTCTTCCTTCTTCGAACATTCTTCCGCACATTTATAGTGGTTTCTTGGATTTCGCTTTCCTCTTTTTATAATTGTAACACTCCAACTTTAATAATTAGTTATATGTTTAGGATGAAAATCTTAAATTTTATAGGTTTTGAAATTGTTAAGTTTGAATGATGAATTGTTGGTACAAATACATTTAAATTGGTGAAATTGATATTATAGAATTAATAAAAATATTGTGTAATACGTATGTGTGAGTTATTGAATTGAAAAATATGATGTTGATTTCAAATGTTGGATTTTTGGGTTGAAAATACTGGTTTTCGTACTTAAAACAACAAAATTTTCACTCTCAGTGTGAAAACCGATTTTCAATATTGGAGAAAACGATTTCCTGAAGTTGACAGATTTTTTTAAAAATTTCAAAAATTTATAACTTTTGAACCGTAACTCCGTTTGAATCCCCGTTCGAAGCGTTAGAAAGCTAGCATGATATTCTTTTCAATGAAAATGGTCTTGCTGGCAATAGGTGATTTAATTATCGTGTGGTTGTGTAAAATGACTTGTATTTATGTGTTGTGTGATTGTGGTTAATGTTGGAATGTAATGATATTTTGTATATTGTTTTCTATGTGTTATTATGTTGGTTTGGAATGGTTGTGTTATGAATATGAATTGTATGTAGATAATTCATGAAGATATATATGTATGTGCAAATGTGTGATAATTCAAGTGTGATGAATTATTGAAGATATGCATAAATGTTAAGATTAGAGAATGGTCTTAATTACATATGGTTGTTGTAATTGCACATGCATCATTTGTTGTCAAGAGACATGTTTGTTAGTTCCGAGACAGCTAGTGACTTATCCCAAACTTAGAGAGGAGTTTGAAAGCTTAAAAAACGGGTTTTTTTGTGTTATTGATCTAGAGGACAGACTCGGTTTAAAGTAAAAATTGAATAAAATTAGCAGTGATTAGTACCACATGCATGAATATTGCATTTGAGTGTCATTGAGTCATATTGCGTGTATATTTACAATATGGAATTATGTGAACTATGTGGAATTGTTGTATTTTGTGAAATTGTGAATGATAAATAAATATTTGTGAATAGTATGACTATTTGGGTGATGTTACATTTTTTTAGACATATGAAGTGTGAGAATGTTGTTTTTATACATTAATGTTATGTATTATATATATTATTATATGATTTCGATAGTTGTTGTACCCCAAAATTTGCCCTCTCGTTTTTCTCCAAAAATCACCCTGGATCCTCAGGTTTACTTTCAAACTTTGAATTACAAATTTTTCATGAAGATCACTC